CAATTCTATAAAGGAGACAGAATAAGCAATTAGCCAAATCAGGATTTGGCCAGTACACTAATTCAAATACCCCACTTTTTAAAGCAGTACCATCACATCTTTAAAGACAAAGAATGGTCAGGACTCTGCTTCATGTTTCACTTGAATATTAAATAATTGTGGTTATCTCCACCTCTCATCACACTGATCATGGTTTCTTCACTGAGGCAGAAAGGATTATGTGAGTTTATAGGCCAGTCAGACCAACTCCAGGGAAGTCTTACAGGTGAGACCATAATAATTGGACCATTAGATCTAACAATTACCATAGAAACAAGCACTATAGACCTCTGCTAAAATGTATAGACAACTTCAATCATTTTCTGATCTTAGTGTTAGCATCAGAGCTAACACTAAGAGTCAGGCATACAAGGTTCTTTTTGGCAAAAATTTCTGTATTCAAACATATTTCTTTTTATATTCTTTCTGCTGAAAAAAAACAGTGTTCTTAAGAGTATTTCCATCTAAACTATTAGGAAAGGTAACACCATAAGTATTAGCTTGACAATCTTAAATCTCAACTAACCTTTTCTCCTAAAGGACGAGGAATTCCAACATACAAATGGTCAAGGAAATTTGCACTACGTCCCAAGCCTAGCACGTTGTATGGCAACTGGAGAGCAAAATGTGCTGATTGGCTAAGCTGTCCAGCTGAAATAAAATTAGAAGTCCAAGTAAGTATTTTGGAAAAAATTGCCAAACCACCAAGTCTCTATACAAGTACACATTTCAAAGTCAGTAGCAAGATATTTTAATGAACCATACTGTTAAGTAATTCTTAAAGGCTTAATCTGACATTTCCAAACTACTTGTGGGCATTTACTTGGAGAATAGCTTAAGTGCTTTAGATTTCTAGGTAAGATGGTAATTTTGAACACCATTTCTATGTTAAAGCAAATCTTTACTATTTGTTGCAAGTTGAGAAGAAATCAGTTATCTGCATTTGATCTGGTCTGGCTGTATTGATGGGCTGAGGAGAACTGTATGAGACTCAACAAGGCCAAGTGCTGGGTCTTGCACTTGGGCCACAACAACCCCATGCAACGCCACAGGCTTTGGGAAGAGTGGCTGGGAAGCTGCCTGGTGGAAAAGGACCCGGGGTTGTTGATTGACATTGGCTGAACATGAGCCAGCAGTGTGCCCAGATGGCCAAGAAGGCCAATGGCATTCTGGATTGTATCAGGAATAGTGTGCTCAGCAGACCTAGGGAAGGGATTGTCCTGCTGTACTCAGCACTGGTGAGGCCTGAGTACTGTGTTCAGTGTTGGTCCCCTCACTTACAAGAAGAACTTTGAGGTGCTGGAGTGTGTCCAAAGAAGGGCAATGTTTTAATGACAAGAGGACTACAGTGGTTGCAAGTTAGGCCCAAGTGGGAGCATGTAATTTAAAGAGTGCAAGGGAAAAGCAGCATTATTTGTTTCCTGAAAAGTCAGTAGGGAAACAAACAAGTGTTGCAGCTATGAACAGGTTCACTAATATCACCAATAAGAAACAATAACAGTTTTCCTAAAGATTAGGCATATTTTAGATTTAATTTTTCCCTATGCAGAACCAGGTAATGAGCAAGTAGACACAAATATTTAAATAGGTTTGTACTTTCAGTGCTCTGTTGCAAGGGCAAGGTGTGCTGTGTATATTGTTAGTGAATTCCTACATTATGGAATCTGTGGCAGACAAAGTTAGCTGAAAAACTTTTCTCTAAGAATGGGGATTTTTTTTTCCAGCAGGTTGAGATAACAGTATAGGACTTCAGTATTGAGTCTGTCCCTACTTTGTCAGTAACTTGCCTTACATAGTGTTCCCTAAATTGTTCAATCTCTAGGTCTCAACTTAAAAATCTAAACTTCGAGTAATTCTCAAATTAGAATAAGCACATGGTATCTGAAAGCACTGGTTACCAATGTAAAACTAACAAGGACAAAGGCAGGTTTATTTAATCTAGTTATAAAAACAAACAAGGTATATATTACTTGATCATGCTAGAACATAATAAAGAATTATATTTAAAAATTTCCTTCACTAATGCTGAATTTTGAAGTACTTTTCCCAAAAGAACAAGGTGCTGCTGTAATATTTAACACTTAAAAGCTTTTAGAATTACTTTTGAGTGAAATATTTAGGATTATGAGGATACTACAACTGAGATCTTCCTTTTTTCTTTCATCATACAAATGAAATAAATGTCAACTAAATTAAAGGAAATAAAAGAAAATGTCATATGCTGTGTGCAGTGAGCCTTAAAGAGGTTAGAGTAAGATACTGCAGCTAGAATTCTTAAAAGCATTGAATAATTTCATGGCTACTAACACTGGTTCTTATGCCTACTAAGACAAGTATAATGAAATCTTACGCTTCAGGATGTAAATAGATCATTTGCAAAGGTCAGAAAGGACAGAAAATCCTATCAGGCATAAAATGTGCACATACCCTTTCTTTATTTGCCTTTAAAATTTGAGGTATTAGCTAAGCAGGACTGTGGATGTTAGCATATAGAAGGTTCTAGTTTACTTTAAAGCTGACTACAAATATGAGATCTTTGAGACTATCTCTTGCTTGATATCTATCATAAATTCCGTGAGTTTTCTGGTTACTCAAAAGTTCCACTTAGAATTGCAAATAAGTAATTAAGAATGACAAGGTTCATCTGAGAAAAAACTTTGAACAAAGATTAAAAATAAAAATAACAGGGAGTACTGGTAACAATTGATTGTAATTTCTGAAGTTCTCAGTCACTGGGAATTAATTTACTTATGAAAGTATTTCAAATTTAATTTAAATAGCAACTCTAGCTATTTGCTCTGTTGTAAAGCCATTGTATACAGTTTTCTACTTGGAGCAAGATTTTAAAACATTCAATCTCGAAACAGGAAGATGAGATTTGTTTCTTATACTAAGATTGTTCTAGAAGCTTTTGGAAGTCTATGCAATCAAGATTCAGTGGCTGTTGCTTCATAGCTTGTTTTGCTTCATCAGTAGAACTGCTACTGTAAACAAGAACTACAAAACCTTTTCCTGTCCATGTTGTAGATAATTACTTTTTAATAATACTTTAAAGAGTAACACTATGACTTCAGCCTTGTTCTTCTTGTTTCAAAGAAGTTATTTGGAAGCCCCCAGATATCATGGGCTACTGTATTGGTATAGGTGATGGTGTTTATATTTTTTATTTCAATCAGAAGTCACTTGAGTTTATTGTTTCAAATAAAATGGCAGAGTAAAAAACCTCAACATTTTAAGACATGTTTTTTAGTGGTTTCAGCCTGTCAGAGACCAAATTTTTACAAAACAGCTAATGATGATGGACAGCCAAACCTTAAAAAATTTTGCAGTCTTTGATATTCAGAAATAATTCTGAACATCTCCAAATCAATCTCCTTATTTTTGAAGTCTGGCATATAAAATTTGAAGCAATACATATAATTAACCTTTTGAAAGTCTTGTGTGAAAAACAGAATGATGTATCATCTGTGACACATACAGTACTTGTTCTTTTAAAGGTGAATTAAGGCATTTGCCTTCTGTCTCCATTATACTGATGCAGAAGCTTAAGAGTAGCACAGTATGCCCTGGGTTAAATTGCAGTGTCCTCAACAGCTTATTGCAGGGTGACTAGACCTAAGCAGCATAAGTGCTTAAATGAAGCCAATTGAACTTTACGAAGGGCAGGTGATTGCATTTACATGTAGAAGCAATGCTTTCCATTGTTTCCTTAAACAGAGCTGATAATGTGTGATACTGAATTTACAGACTAGTTGGGCTTACATAAATCATTTCACAAAACTAATATTGTTCAGTCAGTTTAAATTAGCTTATTTGTGGAATAATAGAGCAGAACATACAAAATCACTACACAGACTTGAAGGACTAATGGAAACTGATTTCAAACCTGTGGTCTCCTGAAGAGCCATTTTTTTTTCTTTATTGTGTTTTTCTCAAAATGTTATTTGCTTTCAGGTAGTCCATTGCATTGATGCCATTCCGATTAATTAAAAATACAGTAATATTTAGGCTTTCAAAAATCCCCCAATTCAAGATATTAGAGAACTGAATAGCTAAATTTATTCATAGAGTAGACATCAGGCAGAAATTCCTTAATGTGAGGGTGGTGAGACACTGGAACGGGTTGCCCAGGGAAGGTGTGGATGCCCCCTCCCTGGCAGCTTTCAAGGGCAGGTTGGATGGGGCTTGGAGCAACCTGGTCTAGTGGGAGGTGTCCCTGCCCATGCAGGGGGGTTGGAACTCAATGGTCTTTAAAGGTCCCTTCCAACCCAAACGCTTCTAAGATTCTGTGATTTTTTTCCACTTGCTGTATATTTTCCTCTTAATTTGCAAAATGATGCATTTATCAGAAGCTTTAATGCATTCATCAAAATAGTAACTGAAGATATTTGTGAAGTGTGAATCAACTTGTCAAACAGGAAAAATCTAACAGAAAAAATATCAAGTTTATTTTAGACGTATTCTTTGTTGACAATGTAGGCAGCTCTTTTGCACAAAAGAATTTGTTGTGTAAAACATAGTAGCTGAGTTGTATGTAGCCTGTGGTCTCAGACATGCATCTACATTCTTCTGTGCCATCATCTGCTCTAATACTGAGGTCAATACATAAATAACTGCTTTCTTATAGATTAGATACACATATGCATTCTAAAAAACCAAAGTAACTCCAAAAAACTACATGTAGAAGTTGCATGAATTACTGCATAGCTCTGAACAACAGGCATTGAACAGGTGAAGTGAGACAAAGCCAGTTCAAGAGTTAGGCACAATTCGACAGTGAATGTGCACCACTGAAGGTTCACAGCTGAAACATGACAGTGATACTGACATTACAGTGATTATCACTATTGTGTTACATTGCACACCAAAGTGTTGCCACAGTGAAGCCAGCAGGTCTTTTTTTTTTTTTTTAATATGTCAGAACCACTTACTGTAAAAGAAAGGGAAAATATAACTGATAATAAAGTACCTGTGTAATATGCTTAAGAATTTCCAAAGCAGCTTTCAGGAAAAACCCCTCAAAACCAAAAACAAACCTAGCACAAAAATACCTCAGCAGCTCCAAACATGAAAGCTTTTTAGGAAGAAGGAGAATGTGATTTCCTTGGCTTTCGTTGAAAGCTTCACTTCAGTTCCATTATTACTGTTTTGGAGTTGCAGGGCACTTGGAGGAAGAGCCATTTTCTGTTTTTCTGCTTAAAATGATGCAATGGCAACTTAAGCTCCCTAAGGCTGGGGATGTGTCCCTCTTCTGACTTCACTCTTTGCTGCTTTTCAGCAGTGCACACAATAAGAAATTCCACATGAATGCAGTACACAATTTCACCTCTCAGCTCTTCCTGTGTTATCTTTTCCTGGGGTTGCACAAATAATTGGGGAAACTGGATTTAAAGTGTACACTTGCAGCTTTGACGACTATGATTTGCAGTGCTGCTAATATTTGTGATAATTCTGAAAGGCCAAACTCCCAATTTGATGCATTTATAGTTCAATGTGTTTTCATTAAAAATAACTTTACACCATAAAATTACATAAGCAAAACTAGAAAGTCTCTTAAAACTCTTTAAAAACCCCCAAGTAATAAAAAATTATCATATTGCTGATTCAAACCGTTTACACAGGGGAAAGTTGTCTAATTTATAATGCCTAAA